CGCACGTGCACGCATACACGCATGCACGCACACGCACACATGCACGCACACGCACACATGCACATGCACGCACTCACACAACCACACCTACACACACATACACACACCCACACACACGCACGCACACACTCACATCCACACACACACGCCCACACACACACCACACACACACACCACACACCCACGCGCACACACACACCCACATGCACCGACGCACACACACCCACACACACCCATGCACCCACGCACACGCACCCACGTACACACACCCATGCACACCCACCCCGCCCCACCCACCCGCCCCACCCGCCACACCCACCCACCGGTCCCACCCCACCCACCCGCCCCTCACACTCCCCCCCCCGAACCCCGCCACGTTGATCCCACCCTTGTGACCTCCACCCCACCTTGACCTCCCTTCCACATCGGCCGATCCTGCCTTGATCACCACTCCACCCAAACCCCCCTCCCTCCCTCCCCCTCCATTATCTTGATCCTCCCCCCAACCCCATCCCTTCATAATCTTGATCCCCCCCTCCCCCTCCATTATCTTGATCCCCCTTCTATAATCTTGATCCCCCCCCAACCCATCCCTTCATAATCTTGATCCCCCCTTCCCCTCCATAATCTTGACCCCCCCTTCCCCTCCCCCTCCATAATTTTGATCCCACCTCTATAATCTTGACCCCCCCTCCATAATCCTGATCTCCCTCCATAATCTTGATCCCCCTCCATAATCTTGACCCCACCTCTACAATCTTGACCCGCCCCGCCCCCAACCCCCCCCCCCCCCGCCCACCAGGGCTGCTGGGCCTGCAGTTGCAGCACGGCTCCAACGAGAGCGCGCACATCCGCGACGCGGTGGCGCTGCTCGCGCACTCCATCAAGGAGGCGACGGAGCGGGAGAACGTGAGCGAGCCCCCGCGAGGCTGCGTGGGCAACACGGCCGTGTGGAAGGGAGGACTCACGCTCAACCGGTGAGCCAAGGGCCTCGCTCACACAGCCCCCGGGGCTGGGTGAGCGCGGGGGATCTCCGACTCCAACTCCAAACTTCATCCCGAAAGCTCAACTGCAGTCAACTCAGCTCGCTACGCTACGCTCCACTCTATTGAAGTCCACCCAACTCCACTCAACTCAACTTTAACTTCTCTCCACTCAAGTCCGCTCCCTCCACTCCACTCACTCCATCCCTCTCTCCATTTGCTACCCCCATCTACTCCACTCCCTCCATCCACTCCCTCCACTCCCTCGCTCGCTCCATCCACTCCCTCCATACACTCCCTGTTCTCCCTCCCTCCACTCCTTCCCTCCATTCACTCTCTCCCTCCCCTCCATCCACTCCCTCCCTTCTCTACATCCACTCCTTCCACTCCCTCCACTCCCTCCCCCCATCCACTCCCTCCCTTCTCTACATCCATTACCTCCCTCCCTCCCCTCCCTCCCTCCCTCCAATCCCTCCCTCCCTTCCCTCCTTCCACTCCCTCCCTCCATCCACTCCCTCCCTCCATCCCTCCATCCAATCCCTTCACTCCACTCCCTCCACTCTCTCCCTCCATCCACTCCCTCTCTCCCTCCCTCCCTCCCTCCAAATCCTCCCCTCCCTCCACTCCCTCCACTCCCTTCTCTACATCCACTCCTTCCACTCCCTCCCCTCCATCCACTCCCTCCACTTCCCTCCTCCGATGGCAATCACCACCACCAACCAACTCCTTCCTGCTCCTCCATCCTCCACCTCATCGCTCCTGCTCCCCCTCCATCATCATCATCATCCTCCATCATCATCATCATCCTCCATCATCATCATCCTGCTCCCCCTCCTCCATCATCATCATCATCATCATCATCCTCCTGCTCCCCCTCCTCCATCATCATCATCATCATCACCACCATCATCCATCATCACCATCATCATCCATCATCACCATCATCATCCTCCTCCTCCTCCTCCTCCATCATCACCATCATCCATCATCATCATCCTCCTCCCCTGCTCCCCCTCCATCATCATCATCATCACCCTCCTCCCCTGCTCCCCCTCCATCATCATCATCATCATCACCCTCCTCCCCTGCTCCCCCTCCATCATCATCATCCTCCTCCTCCTCCATCATCACCATCATCATCCTCCTGCTCCCCCTCCTCCATCATCATCATCATCACCACCATCATCCATCATCACCATCATCATCCTCCTCCTCCTCCTCCTCCATCATCACCATCATCCATCATCATCATCCTCCTCCCCTGCTCCCCCTCCATCATCATCATCATCATCACCCTCCTCCCCTGCTCCCCCTCCATTATCATCATCCTCCATCATCATCATCATCATCATCCTCCTCCTCCTCCCCTGCTCCTCCCACTCCTCCTCCTCCATCATCATCATCATCCTCCTTCCCTGCTCCCCCTCCTCCTCCATCATCACCATCATCATCCTCCTCCTCCCCTCCTCCTCCTCCTCCTCCTCCTCCATCATCATCATCATCCATCATCATCACCATCCTCCTTCCCTGCTCCTCCTCCCCCTCCTCCATCATCCTCCTCCTCCATCATCATCATCATCATCCTCTCCCCTGCTCCCCCTCCATCATCATCATCATCATCCTCCTCCCCCTCCATCATCATCATCATCACCATCCTCTCCCCTGCTCCCCCTCCATCATCATCATCATCATCCTCCTCCCCTGCTCCCCCTCCGCCTTATCCCCTCGGCACCATTCCGGTGTCAGCGTGTGGCAAACGTCACCCCAACCGGGGAGACAAAATCCGGGGTCACGGGGGTCACGGGGGTCACGTGGCGCATGACCTCTGGCCACCCACCCACCTCGCTTCACAGCACTTGGTCCAAAGCAGCTTTGGGGCCGTCCATAAATGACGTCACGCACCTAGAGGGGGGGTTGGGGGTCAGACATTTGTGACGATGTGTGACGAGGGGGGGGGGGGTGGTTTGAGAAATGTGACGTCACGTAAAAATGCGCAACTTTAATAAATAAATATAGACAACACGTTCTACTTAATTGAATGGACTTTTAAACAAATGTTTTCTGCTACAACATCAGAGTGCAGCGCCACATTAAATACGCACTACAATGACAAAATTTCGATTTAAAGCTTCTTTCGTGACTGCAGGGATTCATCTTCTTGGTTCTTTCGGTAAAGTCACGTAGAAGGGAAATAATAAAATAAAAAAAAACAAATTATATTATTTTATTATGTTTTCTTTTAATTATTTTATTACTTCCATTCTACGTGACTTTACCGAAAGAACCAAGAAGGTACAATGAAAATAGTTTAAAGTGATTTGAAGCATTTTTTTTTATTTTTCGTCATATTTGAGGGGGTCTGACGTTTTGTGACGCCGTGTGACGAAGGGAGGGGGGGGGGGGTCAAAAATCGTCCAAAATCGTCCAAAATCGCGTGACGTCATTTATGGACGACCCCATTGCCTCCGCGCAAGGTACCTGCTGTCGGCCAGCCTCAAGGAGGGCCTCACGGGCCGCGTGGAGTTCGACGAGGAGGGGGACCGGCGGCACCCCGAGTACGTCCTCGTGAACCTGCAGGCCGGACACAACCTCGTGCCCGTGGGGGCCTGGACAGAGGAGAACAAGGTGGGGCCCTACAGCCTCCTCCTACAGCCTCCTAGAGCCCTCCCTCCCTCCTTCACCCTCCTGCAGCCTCCTACATTCCTCCCTCCTTCACTCTTTCACTCCTTCACCCTCCTGCAGCCTCCTCCTGCAGCCTCCGTCCCTCCTTCACTCCTTCACTCTCCTGCAGCCTCCTACATCCCTCCCTCCTTCACTCTTTCACTCCTTCACCCTCCTGCAGCCTCCTCCTGCAGCCTCCTTCACTCCTTCACTCCTTCACCCTCCTGCAGCCTCCTCCTACAGCCTCCGTCCCTCCTTCCTTCACTCCTTCACCCTGCTACAGCCTCCTCCTACAGCCTCCGTCCCTCCTTCCTTCACTCCTTCACTCCTTCACCCTGCTACAGCCTCCTCCTACAGCCTCCCTCCCTCCTTCCTTCACTCCTTCACTCCTTCACCCTGCTACAGCCTCCTCCTACAGCCTCCCTCCCTCCCTCCTTCACTCCTTCACCCTGCTACAGCCTCCTCCTACAGCCTCCGTCCCTCCTTCCTTCACTCCTTCACCCTCCTGCAGCCTCCAGCCCCCTCCAGCCTCCCTCCCTCCCTCCTTCACCCCTCTCCCCCTCCTCCCTAACTCCCCCTCCTCTCCCTCCCCCTCCTCTCCCTCCCCCTCCTCCTCCCTCCCCTCTTCCTCTTCCTCCCCCTCCCTGCTCCCTCGCTCCCTCCTCCTTCCTGCTCATTCCTCTTCATCCCCCCTCCTCCTCCCACCTCCTCCCTCCACCTCCTCCTCTCCCTCCCTCCTCATCCCCCTCCTCTTCCCTCCTTCCCTCCCTCCTCATCCTCCTCCTCCTTCCTCCCCTCCTCTCTTCCCTCCTCCTCTTCCTCGACCTCCTCCTCCCTCCCTCTCTCCTTCACCCTGCTCCTCCAGCCTCCAGCCTCCTCCCTCCCTCCTTGACCATGCTCCCTCGCTCCCTCCTCCTCCTTCCTGCCCATTCCTCTTCATCCCCCCTCCTCCTCCTCCCACCTCCTCCTCCTTCCCCTATCCTCCCCCATCCTCTCTTCTCCTCTCCCCTCTTTCCACCCCCTCCTCTCCCTCCCTCCTCCTCCCTCCCTCATCTCCCTCCCTCCTCTCCTTCCTGTCCCTCCCTTCTTCCCTCCCTCCTCAACCCTCTTCTCCTCCCTCCCCATCCTCTTCCAGTCTCCTCCCCCCCCGTCTCCCCCAGTAATAAACGACATATTCTGATCTCTAAAACGACCACATTCACCTTGACCTTGACCCTGACTTTGACCTTGACCTTGACCGCCCCAGGCTCAGGTCAACGACAAAGACATCGTCTGGCCCGGAGGAGGCAAGGTCATCCCGGACGGGTTCAAGATGTCGACCAAACTCAAGGTGCCCTTCAAAGCGCACACACATCAGCGATGTTGATGGCGTTGATGGTGTTGAGGATGCTGCTGATGTTGAGGTTGCTGGTGATGGCGATACTGGTGATGGTGATGTTGTTGAGGATTATGCTGATGACGGTATTAACAATGATGATGGTGACGATGATGATGGTGACAATGATGTTGGTGACGATGATGATGGCGATACTGGTGATGGTGATGATGTTGAGGATTATGCTGATGACGGTATTAACAATGATGATGGTGACGATGATGATGGTGACGATGATAATGGTGACGATGATGATGGTGACGATGATGATGGCGATACTGGTGATGGTGATGATGTTGAGGATTATGCTGATGACGGTATTAACAATGATGATGGTGACGATGATGATGGTGACAATGATGTTGGTGACGATGATGATGGCGATACTGGTGATGGTGATGATGTTGAGGATTATGCTGATGACGGTATTAACAATGATGATGGTGACGATGATGATGGTGACGATGATAATGGTGACGATGATGATGGTGACGATGATGATGGCGATACTGGTGATGGTGATGATGTTGAGGATTATGCTGATGACGGTATTAACAATGATGATGGTGACGATGATGATGGTGACAATGATGTTGGTGACGATGATGATGGCGATACTGGTGATGGTGATGATGTTGAGGATTATGCTGATGACGGTATTAACAATGATGATGGTGATGATGATGATGGTGACGATGATAATGGTGACGATGATGATGGTGACGATGATGATGGCGATACTGGTGATGGTGATGATGTTGAGGATTATGCTGATGACGGTATTAACAATGATGATGGTGACGATGATGATGGTGACGATGATGATGGCGATACTGGTGATGGTGATGATGTTGAGGATTATGCTGATGACGGTATTAACAATGATGATGGTGACGATGATGATGGTGACGATGATGATGGTGACGATGATGATGGCGATACTGGTGATGGTGATGTTGACGATCATCCCAGACAGGTTCAAGATGTCGACCAAACTCAAGGTGCCCTTCAAAGCGCACACACATCAGCGATGTTGATGGTGTTGATGGTGGTGGTGATGTTGGTGATGATAGCGATGATGATGATGATGGTGGTGGTGATGTTGGTCGTGATGTTGGTGATGATAGCGATGATGATGATGGTGGTGATTTTGGTGATGATGGCGATGATGATGATGATGGTGATGATGGTGGTGGTGATGTTGGTGATGATAGCGATGATGATGATGATGATGGTGGTGATGTTGGTGATGATAGCGATGATGGTGATGTTGGTGGTGACGATATTAGTGGTGGATATGGTGGTGGTGATGATAGTGTGATGGTAAGAGAACATGACGATTGTGATGGTAGTGATGTGGAAGCTGATGATGGTGATGGTGAGGATGATAGTGCTGGTGACGACGACGACGATGATGGTATTGATGGTGTTGAGGATGTTTGTGATGGTGATACTGGTGATGATGATGTTGAGGATTATGCTGATGATGATGATGGTGACGATGGTGATACTGGTGATGATGATGTTGAGGATGATGATGTTGAGGATGCCGGTGTTGACGGTGATGATGATGACGTTCATGATGACGACGATGATGATGATAATCAAGACGACAACGATGACGATGATAATGACGACGATGATGATGACGGGTGACGGTGGTGACGATGACGGTGGTGATGATGATAATGAAGACGATGATGATGACGACGATGATGATGACGACGATGACGGTGGTGATGATGACGACAACTACGATGATGATGATGATAATGAAAACGATGATGATGACGACGATGATGATGACGACGATGACGGTGGTGATGATGACGACAACTACGATGATGATGATGATAATGAAGACGATGATGATGACGACGATGATGATGACGACGATGACGGTGGTGACGATGATGACGATGATGACGACGACGGTGACAACGACGATGATGACGATGATGACGACGATGATGACAACGACGATGATGATGACGACGATTGTGATGGTAGTGATTGTGATGGTAGTGATGTGGAAGCTGATGATGGTGATGGTGAGGATGATAGTGCTGGTGACGACGACGACGATGATGGTATTGATGGTGTTGAGGATGTTTGTGATGGTGATACTGGTGATGATGATGTTGAGGATTATGCTGATGATGATGATGGTGACGATGGTGATACTGGTGATGATGATGTTGAGGATGATGATGTTGAGGATGCCGGTGTTGACGGTGATGATGATGACGTTCATGATGACGACGATGATGATGATAATCAAGACGACAACGATGACGATGATAATGACGACGATGATGATGACGGGTGACGGTGGTGACGATGACGGTGGTGATGATGATAATGAAGACGATGATGATGACGACGATGATGATGACGACGATGACGGTGGTGATGATGACGACAACTACGATGATGATGATGATAATGAAGACGATGATGATGACGACGATGATGATGACGACGATGACGGTGGTGACGATGATGACGATGATGACGACGACGGTGACAACGACGATGATGACGATGATGACGACGATGATGACAACGACGATGATGATGACGACGACGATGACGACGATGATAATGACGACGACGGTGACGATGATGACGACGATGACGACGGTGACGATGATGACGATGGTGACGATGACGATGGTGACCACGACGGTGACGATGCCCCCAGATCGTCACGATCCACCAGGAGCCGTTCGTCTACGTGAAGCCGACGCTGAAGGACGGCACCTGCAAGAAGGAGCTCACCATCTTCGGCGACACCATCCAGAAGGTCATCTGCATGGGGCCCAACAACACCCTTCCAGGTGACACAACGACCACAACAACAACACCACAACAACAACAACTACAACAACCACAGCAACAACAACCACAACAACAACCACAACAACAACACCCTTCCAGGTGACACAACGACTACAACAACAACACCACAGCAACAACAACCACAACAACAACCACAACAACAACAACCACAACAACAACACCCTTCCAGGTGACACAACGACCACAACAACAACACCACAACAACAACTACAACAACCACAGCAACAACAACCACAACAACCACAACAACAACCACAACAACAACACCCTTCCAGGTGACACAACGACCACAACAACAACACCACAGCAACAACAACCACAACAACAACCACAACAACAACCACAACAACAACACCCTTCCAGGTGACACAACGACCACAACAACAACAACACAACAACAACCACAACAACAACACCCTTCCAGGTGACACAACGACCACAACAACAACAACACCACAACAACAACCACAACAACAACCACAACAACAACAACCACTGCAACTACAACAACAACCAAAACAACAACACCCTTCCAAGTGACACAACGACCACAACAACAACACCACAACAACAACCACAACAACAACCACAACAACAACAACCACAACAACAACACCCTTTCAGGTGACACAACGACCACAACAACAACACCACAGCAACAACAACCACAACAACAACCACAACAACCACACCCTTCCAGGTGACACAACGACCACAACAACAACACCACAACAAGAACCACAACAACAACACCACAGCAACAACAACCACAACAACAACACCCTTCCAGGTGACACAACGACCACAACAACAACACCACAGCAACAACAACCACAACAACAACCACAACAACAACAACCACAACAACCACACCCTTCCAGGTGACACACCGACCACAACAACAACACCACAACAACAACCACAACAACAACACCACAGCAACAACAACCACAACAACAACACCCTTCCAGGTGACACAACGACCACAACAACAACACCACAGCAACAACAACAACGACCACAACAACGACCACAACAACGACCACAACAACACCCTTCCAGGTGACACAACGGCCACAACAACAACGCCACAGCAACAACAACAACGACCACAACAACAACACCCTTCCAGGTGACACAACGACCACAACGCAACCACAACAACAACAACACCCTTCCAGGGTTGGTGGCGTGGGTCAGTGGGGTGGGGGGGGGAGGGGGTGGGTGGGGGGGTTGGTGGGGGGAGGGTTGGTGGGGTAGGTCAGTAGTGTGAGGGGGGGTTGGTGGGGGGGTTGGTGGGGAGGGTTGATGGGGTGGGTCAGTGGTGGGGGGGGTTGGTGGGGGGAGGGTTGGTGGGGAGGGTTGATGGGGTAGGTCAGTGGTGGGGGGGGGGGTTGGTGGAGAGGGTTGGTGGGGTGGGTCAGTGGTGGGGGGGGGGGTTGGTCGGGGGGTTGGTGGGGAGGGTTGATGGGGTGGGTCAGTGGTGGGGGGGGGGGTTGGTGGGGGGAGGGTTGGTGGGGTGGACCAGTGGTGTGGGGGGGGGGGAGGTGGTGGTGGGGGACTGGTGGCGTGGATGGATCAGTGGGGTGGCGTTGGTCAGTGGGGTGGGGGGGGCGGGTGGGGGGGGCTGGTGGGGACTGGTGGCATGGGTCAGTGGTGGTGGTGTGGGGGGGCTGGTAGGGGGGGGGTTGGTGGTTGTGTGGGGGGACTGGTGGCATGGGTCAGTGGTGTGGGGGGGGGGGGTTGTTGGTGGTGGTGTGGGGGGGGGGGCTGGTGGGTGGGCGCCGTGGTGTCCCATCCAGCAGTGGAGTGATAGTGGCGGCCGCTGCCCGCCGCTGGCGGCGCTGTTCGTTGTGTGGCGGCAGGGCGTCCCATCGTGCCGCAGTGCTGCTACGGCTTCTGCGTGGACCTCCTCATCAAGCTGGCCAACAACCTCAACTTCACCTACGACGTCCACCTCGTGCACGACGGAAAGTTCGGCACCCAGGAGAGGGTGAGGAGGGCCGCCGCTGCGCGATTGTTGTTGCCGCGGTTGTTGTTGCGGTTGTTGTCGTCTTCATGTAGGTTGGGCACGCGTCCGCTGTGCGCGCTCGCTGCTCCGCAGGTAAACAACAGCAACAAGAAGGAGTGGAACGGCATGATGGGGGAGCTGCTGATGGGCCAGGCGGACACCATCGTGGCGCCGCTCACCATCAACAACGAGCGGGCGCAGTACATCGAGTTCTCCAAGCCGTTCAAGTACCAGGGACTCACCATCCTCGTCAAGAAGGTCCGGGGCCTACCGAGATGAAGGGCAGCCAGGGCAGCCAGGGAAATAGTCTCAGTCGGTTCCCTCACCCCTTGCCCCACCACCGCCCTCCCTCGTTAAACGCGGAAGCGGTAGACGCATTCCTGGAGGAAAGTATCACTGAGAGTTCGTAAGTTGAGCGTTCGTAAGTCGTAAGTTGAGCATTCGCAAGTCGAGCTTTCGTAAGTTGAGGGTTCATAAGTCAGCATTTGCAAGTCGAGTGTTCACAAGTCGTAAGTCGAACGTTCGTCAGTAGAGGGTTTGTAAGTCGAGCATTGGCAAGTCCGCCGATCCTGCGGAGCCTCGTCGCGTTCATTAGATTTTTTTTTGCGTAACTTCAATCTTTCTCGCACTATGTGAAATTTCTGCTAGAAATATCCAGACCGACGATAACGAACAATTGTCGTTGTCCGGAATGTGTGTGTGTGTGTGCATTGAAAACGGCAATGATCTTGTTACGACCACGCGGTTTCCGGAAACGCGTTGTGACGTCGTACAAGCGGGGAGGCCGCCTGCAATGCTTCAAAAAGATGTTAACACTTCCGAGAAATTTGCTAACAATTCCGCGATAAAATGCGACCACCTCCGGGCTCTCTAGAGACCACCTGGAGAAGATTCCAGGCAACGCGTTGACAACGATGGCGAACGAGTGACTTCTTGAAGCGACGAACATTACATTTGTTATCGCGTTACGGTGTATTATTTTTTCCCATTAAAACGATAGCCCCATATTAGTGTTAACATTTGCTTGAAAATGATACAAACGTGAACCGCGCGTGCGCTGTAAAATCAGCCTGCAGACATCACGATGGTTGCATGACAAATAACTGAGATGGTGATGGTAGTGGTGGTGGTGCTGTGTCGTTCCGCTAAGGGGGTTGGGTTATCACTCACACGCTGCATCCCCCTGTCTCCACGTGTCTCCACGTGTCTCCCCGTGTCTCCCCGTGTCCCCCCCTCGCCTCCCCTCACCTTCGTGTCTCCCATCACCTCCCTGTGTCTCCCTTCCCTGTCTCCCATCACCTCCCCGTGTCTCCCTTCCCCGTGTCTCCCATCACCTTCCTGTATCTCCCCTCCCCGTGTCTCCCATCACCTCCCTGTGTCTCCCTTCCCCGTGCCTCATCCCCCCGCCGTGCCCCCCCCCCGCCACCCCCACCGTGTCTCCCTCTCTCCTCGTGCCGCGGCTGAGCAGGAGATCCCGCGTAGCACGCTCGACTCGTTCATGCAGCCGTTCCAGAGCACGCTGTGGCTGCTCGTGGGACTCTCGGTGCACGTGGTGGCCGTCATGCTCTACCTGCTCGACCGCTTCAGGTGCGGGGTCGTGCTGGGGGGGGGGGTGGAGGGGGGCAGGGGGGGGCGGTTACCCACACGCACACCTGTACCTGTACGCCGGTACACACGCAGAGCCCTGTACGCACCTGTACGTGCACGGCACACCTGTACACGCACGCGCGTACATGTGCACATTTACACACACCTGTACACACTTGTACACAAAGACACACCTTCTTCTTGGTTCTTTCGGTAAAGTCACGTAGAAGGGAAATAATAAAATAATAACATAAAACAATAAAATACATATACGCTCCAAGCTTGGTGGTGTTTCATTCTTCACCTGAGGACGGCTGCTTGCGTTGTAGCCGAAACGTCGTGAGAATTATTTTATGATGTTTTATTTTTATTATTTTATTATTTCCCTTCTACGTGACTTTACCGAAAGAACCAAGAAGATGAATCCCTGCAGTCACGAAAGCTTTAAATCGAAAGACACACCTGTACACACACACAACAACAATAACCGCCATTCGCCACTTAGTGGCGGTGACGTCACCACGACGCTTGTGCCAGGCCATGTGCGCCTTGAGGTCACGTGAAGTGTCGAACGCCCGCTGGTAGGAGGTCACGGGGCAGACCCAGGTGCCACGGGTCGACTGACTGAGACGACTGGCTGATGCACCACCTGTGCCCCCTACTGTGCCAACTCGCTGTGCTTTTGGCACCCGGCGCTCCGCTAGTTGTTGTGAGCGTCGCTCCTCCGCCCTCCGTTGTTGTTGGAGGGCGACTGCCTTCAGCTGCCCAGTAGCGTCCTTCACGAGCCTCATCCACAGAGGCCGATCTTGACACCGCTGGTACCAGTCATCGGCAAGTCCACTCAGCTCCACGTTCACCTGTACCACATCACTCCATCTCTTCTCTAGCCTGTGCCGCGCCCATTTAGCCCCCTCGATCCGCTCGAACAAAAGCTGTTTGGGCATGCGGTGATTGGGCATGCGGGCTACATGACCCAGCCAACGCAGCCTTGCTGCCAGAGGAGCTAACCGATGGGACATTGTCCAGATTTTGCGAGGATTGGTGAGTTCCTCACACAATCCAGCATGGTTAAACCCAGGATTGATCGTAGGCAGACCAGTCCACCGGACCTCCTGAATGCCACAGAGATCCAGGCAGTACCATTCCAGCTCCTGACAGAGGAGTGGCAGCCTCTCCACCGCAGTGAGCATTTACACATTCCACGTGGCCATCCGTAGTGGCTTTTTGTTGTTTCTGGAGTAGCCCCGAGGGTAAAGATTCAATCTCCTGGCTCCGCCAAATGGGGTTTGGCCAGGAGACGTCGTAGACGCCTGTCCCCCCGGGGCCTCCGGCACAAGCTTGTTAATTAAAAATGTCGGTCGTAGTTTAGTGGTAGTTAATTGAAGGTGGAGGGGTTACCAGCCCCTCACACCCGTCCAGAGACCCCATTTAGCTGCTGTGGTCACAGACGCCATGAGTTGAAAGGACAATCGGAATTGGCCCTCTCCCCCCACAGCACTGTCCACGACAGCGTTGCCCATCCGGCACCACGAGGAGGTAGGGGGTTGGTTTACACACACCTGTACACACCCCTGTACACACACCTGTACACACACACCTGCACACACACACCTGTACACACACCTGTACACACACACACCTGTTCACACACACACCTGTACACACACCTGTACGCACACACCTGTATGCACACCCCTGTACGCACACACCTGTACGCACACACCTGTACACACACACACCTGTACGCACACACCTGTATGCACACCCCTGTACGCACACACCTGTACACACACACCTGTACACACACCTGTACATACACCTGTACACACACACACCTGTTCACACACACACCTGTACATACAACTGTACACACACCTGCACACACACACACGCACACACTTGTACACACACCTGTACACACACACACCTGTACACACACCTGAACACACCTGTACACTCACACACCTGTACACACACCTGTACACACACCTGTACACACACACCTGTACACACACCTGTACACACACCTGTACACACACACCTGTACACACACCTGTACACTCATACATCTGTACACTCATACATCTGTACACACACCTGTACACACACCTGTACACACACCTGTACACACACCTTAAGCAATATCGCGTTCCATCCCCCGTGCTGACCAGGTGACCCGCCGCTCCATTCCGCAGATCCATTCCAGCTGCACGTCCGTCGTGTGTCACGTGATCCATGCCAGTGCTTCACCAAAGGGGAACACACCCTCACCCCCCCCACCACCACCATCATCATCATCCCACCACCACCCTCCCCACCACCACCACCCCCCCACCACCACCCTCCCCCCCCACCACCACCCTCCCCCCCCACCACCACCCTCTCCAACACCATCTTCCCCACCACCCCCCCACCACCACCATCATCCTCACCCATCACCACCATCATCCCTACCCACCCCCACTACCACCCCACCACCACCACCATCCCCCACCCCACCCACCACCCTCCCCACCACCTTCCCCACCCACCACCTTCCCCACCCACCACCTTCCCCACCAACACCCCCCCCCCCCACCAACACCCCCCCCCCACCAACACCCCCCCCCACCAACACCCCCCCCACCAACACCCCCCACCACCCCACCACTCCACCCACCACGCTCCCTACCACCACCTTCCCCACCACCACCCCCCCACCACCACCATCATCCCCACTCACCCACCACCACCATCCCCACCACCATCCCCACCCCCCCCACAACTCTACTCACCACCACCCCAACCACCACCCTCACCACCACCCTCACCCCACCCTCCCCACCAACACCCCCCACCATCCTCACCCCACCACCACCATCATCCCCACCCACCACCCCACCCACCACCACCTCCCCCCCACACACCACCCACCACCCCCCCCCCCACCACCCCCCACCACCCCCTCCCCACCACCCCCACCACCCCCCCACCACCACCCCATGTCCGCGGACGGGTTAGAAACCCGGCGATCCATTCCGGCATTTCCAGCGCACCGGCTCCACAGCCACGCGGCGCTCCGCAGGTAACGCACGCGGCGGGCTGCCCACGTCTCCTCGTGCTGCCCCCCCCCCCCCGTGTGTCTCTGTGGCTGCCCCCCCCTGTGGCTGCTCCCCTCCGTGTGTGTCTCTGTAGCTGCCCCCCCCCGTGTGTCTCTGTAGCTGCCCTCCCCCCCGTGTGTCTCTGTACTGCCCTCCCCCCGTGTGTCTCTGTAGCTGCCCTCCCCCCGTGTGTCTCTGTAGCTGCCGCCCCCCGTGTGTCTCTGTAGCTGCCCTCCCCCCCGTGTGTCTCTGTAGCTGCCCTCCCCCCCGTGTGTCTCTGTAGCTGCCCTCCCCCCGTGTGTCTCTGTAGCTGCCCTCCCCCCGTGTGTCTCTGTAGCTGCCCTCCCCCCGTTGTCTCTGTAGCTGCCCTCCCCCCGTGTGTCTCTGTAGCTGCCCCCCCCCGTGTGTCTCTGTAGCTGCCCCCCCC